GTGCTGCGATAAACATTGGGGTGCACGTGTGTCTTTCAGATCTGGTTTCCTTGGTGTGTATGCCGAGCAGTGGGATTGCTGGGTCATTTGGCAGTTCTATTTTCAGTTTTTTAAGGAATCTGCGCACTGTTCTCCATAGCAGCTGTACTAGTTTGCATTCCCACCAACAGTGTAAGAGGGTTCCCTTTTCTCCACACCCTCTCCAGCATTCATTGTTTGTAAACTTTTTGATAGCAGCCATTCTAACCTGTGTGAGATGGTACCTCATTGTGGTTTTGATTTGTGCTTCTCTGATAATGAGTGATGTTGAGCATCTTTTCATGTGTTTTTTAGCCATCTGTATGTCTTCTTTGGAGAATGTCTGTTTAGTTCTTTGGTCTTTTTTTTTGATTGGGTCGTTTATTTTTCTGGTATTGAGCTGCATGAGCTGTTTGTGTATTTTTGAGATTATTTCTTTGTCAGTTGTTTCATTTGCTATTATTTTCTCCCACTCTGAAGGCTGCCTTTTCACCTTGCTTATACGGAAAAGACTTTCAAAACCCACATTCTGTTTTTAAATGTCATGAATGATTAGACTTCTTTTAGCATTAAACACAAACTTAAATGCCAGTATTTCTTGGTTATTTGCCAAATACTCATTTTATTTGGGCACAAAACTGTGATCTGTAGCATCTTGAATAATGTCTTCTATAATATAGTAGGTGTATAGGCAAGATCAAAATAATAATGAATGCATAGGCGAAATCATTGACACTGCCTTGAGGCAAATACGGTAACATCATCATGTTCTTAACTTCACTTTTGGTGAAGGCTGGGGAGGATTCTCATTTACTGAAGCTCTCCTGAGTGCAGGATTCTTAATGTATGATACCTAATTTAATCCTCCAGCAAACCTGTGTTACTGCTATTCCCATTTTAGATGATATTACTCTATACATAAAGAAAAAAGAAGTAGTAAGTTTCCTAAAGTCACACAGCAAGCTAAGGTTGATGTTTCCCTCCAAAAGTCCTATCTAAGACCAGGTAAACAATCCCCCAGAGACAGAATATTAGCCTCTTTTTCTCTCACCATCTCCAAAGCGGAAGTGATCTCCAGGGTCACCTGCTCGTCGGCACAACCTTGTACAGGGTTTGCAAGGAGTTAGGGCCAACTGCAAAATAAGAGGGCACAGTCCCAAACGCTTCTCTCACTTCTGACTCCAATTGCAAGTGGGAGGTGGTTCCTTCAAATCACCCTTGGGTTTGATAATTCTCCAGAAGAACACATAGGACTCACTAAATGCTGTTATACTGAGAGTCATGATTTATTACAGGAAAAAGATACAGATTAAAATCCACCAAAGGAAGAAGCATCTAAGTCGGGGTCCAGGAGAAGGACTGAATGCAAGCGTCTCTTGTCCTCTGTGGAGTCAGGATGCATTGTCTTCCAGCACTGATGTGTGATGAGAAACATGGAGGATTTCCAACCAAGGACACCTTCTCAGTCCTTGAGTTCAGAGTTTTTAATGAGGGTTTTATAATTGATGGCCCACCCACAGGGTGGAACTTGGTCTCCAAGTTCACTGACACTGTGTGGCCTAAAACCCCACCCTAAGTCACGTTGTCACTCTCCGGCTAGCCCAAGGATCCCAGGCAAATAAAATTACTTCCTAGGAGCTGCAGGCGAAAGTTAGACCTCTTCTTAGACCTAGCAAGGGTAAATTCTTTACTACCCTGGGTCTCAGCCTTGTTGAGTGCCTTTTCTCTTTTCTTCCTGGCCACATGTGCTGTCTTACACCGGTGGGTTTGGGAGGTGCCTCGTCACTGCAGTTTATTTTGTTTGGATGCTGGCAAGAAGGCTGAGACACACACATGAATATTTCAGGCCAAATGCCAGGAGAGTGAACATCCACTCTCCTATTAAACCCAAAACTGGCTTAGGATTGAATAGCAGTTTAACAGGATCCATATGGCATCGATGAAATCATTAAGTGACTTGAATGCTTAGAGGCAAATTTTTCCTGGTATAAAAAATATAATTCAATTAATTATAATTTATTTTTTAAGACAAACATCAGTACAGTTAACCTTCTAAACATACACATCCACATGCCCACCTCCACCCCCTAGCTAGGTATAAATATATATATATCTATATATTACTGTGCCAAGGTCATATTTCATCCTAATGTTATATCATTGCTAGGTGAGTTTACCTAAGATGGTAGTTTTACTAAATAACTACTCATTCATATACAGATAATCCTCATTCTTCATTCTATATTTGCAAATTTGCTTACTTGCTAACATTTATTTGTAACTCTTTTAAAATAAATACTTGTGACACTTCCGTGGTAATTTGCCAACATTTATAGAGTGGCAAATTGAGTTGCCTGACCTGTTATTCCCAGCTGAGGCTGAGCAAGGCAACTCTGCCTTCTGTGTTTAAGCTCTCATACTGTAAACAAGTGTTCTTATCAGGACCTAGTTAATGCCACTTTTTTGTTTTGTTTTTGTTTTTTTTGCATTTTTGTGGCTTTTTATTGTTGATTTTTTTTCTTTAAATTAATTTTATTTTATTTAATTATTTTTTTCATTTATCTTTATTAGTTGGAGGCTAATCACTTTACAGTATTGTAGTGGTTTTTGTCATACATTGACATGAATCAGCCATGGATTTACATGTATTCCCCATCCCAATCCCCCCTCCCACCTCCCTGTCTACCCGATCCCTCTGGGTCTTCCCAGTGCACCAGGCCCCAGCACTTGTCTCATGCATCCAACCTGGGCTGGTGATCTGTTTCACCCTAGATAATATACATGTTTCGATGCTGTTCTCTCGAAATATCCCACCCTCGCCTTCTCCCACAGAGTCCAAAAGTCTGTTCTGTACATCTGTGTCTCTTTTTCTGTTTTGCATATAGGGTTATCATTACCATCTTTCTAAATTCCATATATATGTGTTAGTATACTGTAATGGTCTTTATCTTTCTGGCTTACTTCACTCTGTATAATGGGCTCCAGTTTCATCCATCTCATTAGAACTGATTCAAATGAATTCTTTTTAATGGCTGAGTAATATTCCAAGGTGTATATGCACCACAGCTTCCTCATCCATTCGTATGCTGATGGGCATCTAGGTTGCTTCCATGTCCTGGCTATTATAAACAGTGCTGCGATGAACATTGGGGTGCACGTGTCTCTTTCAGATCTTGTTTCCTCGGTGTGTATGCCCAGCAGTGGGATTGCTGGGTCATATGGCAGTTCTATTTCCAGTTTTTTAAGAAATCTCCACACTGTTCTCCATAGTGGCTGTACTAGTTTGCATTCCCACCAACAGTGTAAGAGGGTTCCCTTTTCTCCACACCCTCTCCAGCATTTATTGCTTGTAGACTTTTGGATAGCAGCCATCCTGACTGGCATGTAATGGTACCTCATTGTGGTTTTGATTTGCATTTCTCTGATAATGACTGATGTTGAGCATCTTTTCTTGATTTTATTTTTAAAAATGGCCCCTAGTGTCAAAATTCTGTCTGGTGTTCCAAAGTGCAAAAACACAATGATGTGTCCTATGAAGAAAATACATGTCAGATAGGCTTCTTTGATGCATAAGTTACAGTTTATTTGACTGTGAGTTAAGTGTTTATGAACCAACAATATATACTAATAAGGTATCTTTAAACAGAAATACACAGAAAGCAAAGTTATATATTGATTGATTGATGAAAGTATTGTGACCAGAGGTTCACAAGAACCTATCTTGTTTCCCCAGGAGCAGTAGTTCAGTGTTGGTTAATTCGTTGTGTATGGTGATGTTGTAGGATGTAACTTCTGTGAATAATGAGAGTCAATTCTGTTTGCTGCATTACTTCATTCATTTATTCATGTCATCTTTTATTCATTCTTTGAGAAAAGATACATGAAAACTTCTCCTGGTGCCAAATAATTTCTACATGATGTAGAATTTCCCTCTTACGTCTTTTTGCACATCATTGGTAGTCTTACTGTAGCCCTCTGATTCAAAGCACTCGTGGTGGTTTATGATAACACATCAAATATGAAGTGTAAGCTTGCATTTTAAAGGTTGGGATTGGGGGGCTGAATATTTTCAGTGTGTGATAATTTTAATATGAGCTACATATGCAAGATTCACCCTTCTCAGTAGACTTCCTGTGAATTTCCTTGTTTGCTTGGAGACCACGATTTTTAGGATCAGATTCCTCAATGGGTTTATGTTGGATTCCAGCACAGCCAGGTGATGCGTCTGGCCACACCTCCCAACACCAAAATGCTGTCTGCTGGTTTGGCTGCATGGCCTTGCAGGCATGACTTTATGCTGGCAAGATTATTCCTCAGCTGTGCTTTACAGATGAGAATGCCAGGCTGCGCCGTCCCCTCTCCTTTCTCCCAAGACTGCTTGTCTTTGCATCATTTTCTGCTGCCTCTTCACACTCTCCTAATCCACATTCGAGCTAAGGGAGGTGAATGGGCCTGGGGAGCACATGTTCACCTCATGATCTTTGTAGCTCCTAGATACACTCACCTTCACTGAAGTGTTCCTCATTTCCTGGTTTTGATTGTCCAGGATGTATGAGGACTAAGGTCCATACCTTGCCGTTCTTTTCTCCCAATGTTAATAAAACCAGTTTTGCTGGCATCCTCCCAAAGTGAAAAATTCCAATGAGTTCAGGGATCTTTCAGTGGAATGATCATACTGTCAAGCCCAGAGACATTATTGACTATTACCTCAGTGATGATAAAACAGTAAAAGTTAAGCTTGATGTTCTCAAGTGATAAGCAGTTGAATATAAATAAGAATAATTTTCTTCAAACATCACTGTGAAATTTTATTCCGAGGAAGGGAGGACCAAGACTAAAAATCTTTGAATACCATTTAGTGCCTTGCACAATGCCTAGAACAAATAATAGACCTTAACAAATATATACTAAATGAATTAATGGTTAAAATAACTCATTTAAAATACAAATATTCAGTAACATTAATTTGTTTTTTCTTTCAGATACAGATGAATATAGACCTCCTGTTTGGAAATCTTACTGTAAGTGTACAAATAATTTTAAATTGGATGGGTTATAGTGCTTTATAAGTAACATAAAAATATTAAGATATTTTTAGATTTTAGAATCTAATCTTTGATAGATACGAAGATTGACTCGATTTTGTGCCCACTATTGAAAAACTAATTTACAACAGGATTTGTGCCCAGCACAGGAAAAGAAACTGTGGGGAAACAGGAACATTTCCACGAAGCCTGTACATGGTTTGCATGTTAGGAATGCATCTCATCCCCCTGAGTTCACGTGGAATTCTGTGTTATGAAACTTGGGACCACTTGTTGACAATGGCTGGTAAAACTAATGCAAGGAGAAACTAACTGAGAATTTAAGGAATCTTTTCTCAGATCCTCATTCTTTATATCAAAAAGGAATAAACAAATGATGATAAGTCAAGAGGCTAAATTGCTAGAAAGAATGGATAAAAGGAGGCAAAAGAAATTTTTCTTTTTTTTTAGAAATTGCCTTCCCCAATATGAGAGAGACATTTGAATTCTATATTGTTCTTTAAACTTTGCATTAGAATACAATTTTTTTCTGATGAGTCTATGTTCTTAGTCCTTTATTTTCCCTTCCTTGTTTCCTAGAGAATATTGTTGCATCAAATAAAATCTATTTCAGATTTTTTAAAAATGGAAATAAGGTTAATACAATAGTTGTTTTTTAAAAAATCCATAAATGCACTGTTGTAGAAACCAGTACTGTAAACTTCTGTATGCTGTCTAGAGTCAAATAAGCAACCTAAAAAACTTTAAATATAGATTATTAGCATCTTTGTAAATATTGAGTTATTCTGTGTTTTGATATTTGTAAGTTGTTGAAATTTGCTGACTGAAAGAGCAGTAATTCAGATTCTTGTGTTCCCAGAACAATATATTGTTTAATAGGTTTCCACTTTGGGCTAATTATAGTAAGCAAAAATGAACAGTCTCTAAAAATATTCCATACATGTATTTTCTCCCACCCCTGCTGCTTTCTTTTTGTTTCTGAGGAGTATAGTTCAAAAAATGCATAAAAATGACTAATGTTCTTTACCTCTCAAAGATTTTGTCATATAATCTCATTGGCGGGAGGCCTATTTAAGATTTTTCTCTGCATTTTCTGGTTTTCAATTTATCTTTATTCCCTTTCCTCTGACTTGTGCCTTGTGCGTTTTAATGTAAGAGCATTTATAAAACCTCAGATTGTTATTTAATCATGGTGGCGAGTTTTCCCACTGAAGAATATTGACTGCTTAATGTGGTATATGCAATTTGTATTTTCTGTATCTTCATGTGTCTTAGAGTAGCAACCATTTGTCTTAAAAATGGCATATTTCCTCTCTTATTTTGGTGATAATACTGAGTTTTAATAGTTTCTTTTAGTGACTTCAAGCCTGAAGAACACTGCCACCCCTCATCATTTTAATAGTAGAACAAGGAGGAAATTATTAGAATAGACTCTATTTTCTGACCATCAAATGCAAAAACTTCCAAATCAAGGAAATTTTATGATTAAACTGTTAAAGCCAAGCTGAAAAGCCCATCCCATATTTTAAATGAGTCATGTGAAATTACTTTGTGAAATCATGATGTTGTCTAAGAATTTGTATATGTGCACACTTTAACTAATGAGAAACATGTAAAAATTACATTCTCAACGTTGAAGTAATTGGTATGATGATTGTTTAGATTGTTAAATGTGTTTGTCAAAATTCTGATTCTAGAAAAAAATTGAGATGTGGGTTGAATTCTTTTGTTTTCTTTTTGTTTGTTTTGCCTTTGCCACTCATAGTCACTTTTACAGTTTTATGTCCAGGTAACAGTAAATAATCCCCAGTAGGGTATTTAATAATACTGTAAGAAGTTCACATGTCCTAGAGTCTGTGCATTTTAATAGGAAAAGTTTTTTTTAGAACTAACAAGTCTGTGACACCCTTATTTCTTCATGAGTGACTGAAGTTTTAAGTTACTGGGGTAAAAGGCCCTGCCGAGTACCCTCAATAATTGAGCCGTGACATTTTGTTTAATTCCTATGTATGCCTTGTTCAGAGTTGATAAGTAACAAATTCTGTTTGATCATCTTTGGGGCTGAAAAACCATAATGCATATGTTACCTTCTCTGCGCTGTGACTTACATTTTTATAATTAATTCTCAAAATGGTGTGGTAAAATCTAAATGGATTGAGACTTTAAAAAAAATCATGTATGTCTGTCCACATAAGGAGATACAAGCAGAATGAAAGCTATTCAGAATGTTTTGGTTGTTCAGGTCTATTCTGTACTACATCTATAAAACTGAAGGGAACAGTTACATTCTCATCTCAAAAGTTGCAGCATGTTAAGGATTTTTCTTCTGTCTTTAGCTTGGTGGGGTCTGAGCAGCTTTTCACAATGTGATTCTTTAAGAAACTTATTTTCCCTGTGATTCTATAAGAAACATTTAACCTGTGTCTCTTTTGTGCATTCTGATTTTGGTTCAATTGAGCTTGTGAGAACATAATTCTAATACCATACAAATTCAATTCAGTAATTAAGTAGGAGTTAGCAAGATGTCCAAGTTGAGAACTCTTAAAACAAATGCAGTTTTGTTGCTTTTCAGTATGTCTTACTTGAAATCAACCAGGGTCCGAACAGTTTCAAGAGGAGCTGGAATTCTCTTTTGCTTTTATTTTTGTTGCTAAATCTCTTAATTTTTAAATGTTAAAAACAAGATTTAATTTGAAAAACAGATGCTGAAAAAACACATGTAAGCCAGTTTTGACCTCAAGATGCCAGCTTGTGGACTCTGAACGTAATTCACAATGTACTGTCTCTAGGTACTAAGAATTTCCATAAGAAGTACATAAACATTAACACTTTTGAGGTGATTGAAAAATGTTGAGTACTTTAATCATACATCTCTCATCTTGAATTTGGCTATTAATTTTTGGTGAATTATTACATGATTGTGCAGTTTTAAGTTTCAGCTGAGTTTCAGCTTAAATTACAAAAAAAAAAATACCCTCTAAATTTAGAAGGGCCTGAAATAATTATACTTTATTAATTACAGTTTATGATTTTTGATGATCTTTTTGATGAACATTCCCTGAGTTCATATGTTATATTTAGTTATACAATACCCAATATTCAAAGACCCTCCCTTTATATGTATTTTTATTAAAAATGAGTCATAGAGCTAGACTAACCCTTGGTACCAAGCCAGTAGGGGGGTTGTTTGTCTAAAAATTGCTCTTCTCAATCAAACAGAACTATACCCTTTGAAACTCTGATGGAAGCAAAGAGTAAAATTCTTATGAGGTTATCACTCTTTTTCATACTGGCTTACCTTAATATTTGCTTAGTGAAAAGGTAAATGCATTGCTGATAACCAGATGCTACAATATTTTTGTGCTTGTACTCAAAGTCAACACTTCACTTTCTCTAATAACTTGTAATGTCCTTCTTGGGCACTACTCAGTTCTCATAATTGAGTTTCCATAGGTGACCCTACTTTCTAAAACATTTTCTTGACAAAGGGAAACTACTGCTCAAAACAGAAATGTGAACTGCATTTTCACATCTTAGTTACAACTAGGGAGAAATGGACCTGAAGAATGGACCTTTTTGCAAATCATGTTTTGGTCCTCTTGGGAGGATGGAGATTTACAGTTATCTCTGGGCTTCACAGGTGTCTCTAGTGGTAAAGAACCTGCCTGCCATTGTGAGAAACCCAGGAGATGCAGGTTCCATCCCTGGGTTGGGAAGATCCCCTGGAGGAGGGCATGGCACCCCACCCCAGTATTCTTGCCTGGAAAATCCCATTGACAGAGGAGCCTGTGGTGCATAGGGTCGCAAAGTTGGACACAGTTGAAGCGATGCAACATGTACACACTGGTGATGCACCTGTGCTCTTGCTAAGTGGGCCACACAAATTTTTTGTCACTGCTTTCTCTCTTCCCTTCCCATCTCAGAATTATTCCCTTCAGATCACCTCTTTAATCCATAAAAAACACATTCACGGGAGTATTTTTGAAAAACCAACTTCCATCATAAAATATGGTTATCTAAACTATTTTAATTTATTTTGTCTCAGGGATTTTTGCAACAAGGAGAATAAGACAAAGGAATACATTTCTATCAGTAGATGTCAAACATTATTAAATGAGGAAGTGTTTTGTTTATTTTTTGATTCTTAAACAGAAAAGCTCCATCTTCTTAGCACCTTTTAAATCATAGTATTACCATATTGTTAGGTTTTGGTGATGACCTGAGATGCATTGTGATAATCAAATATTTATTGTAAAGAATTTTCTGTATTAGTATCAGTCACCTATATATAAAAATAGCTAATCTTTATTGTTTATCATATGCTGGGGACTGTTTTAAGTCTTTCACATATAGTATTTAATCCTTTCAGTAATCTGTAAAGTAGAAACTATTGTTATCCCCATTTTCAAATGACGAAAAATGATGCTCAGTATGCAGTGTTAGTGGCGGAGCACCAGCATTCAAATTCCAGCTGGTCTAGTTCAGGAGTTGAGATTTGCAGTTTCAGTACTTTGCTGCCTGACACAGCAGTACAGACAGTGATGTGTGTCTGTGTATGTTCTGAGCATGTTTACTGTACGTGTACACACAGGCTTCTCTGGGGGCTCTGATGGTGAAGAATCTGCATGCGATGCAGGAGACCTGGGTTGGAAAGATCCCCTGGAGAAGGGAAAGGCACTCCAGTATTCTGGCCTGGAGAATCCCATGGACTGTATATAATCCATGGGGTTGCAAAGAGTCAGCAATGACTGAGCGACTTTCACTTTCGTACACACACATATACATGGTCTAACTGTATATGTTTATATATGTCTCTGCACTATATGTGAATATTATCAGAGGCAGAGTCTATATAATAAGTCCACTTGAAATGTTAGCCTTGTATTATTTGACAATCCCAGATGCTGTCCCAGATATTACATTGACCAAATGTCTACATATTTAAATACACTATTAAATTCAGTTATATGTTGATTATATGTGTAGAAATAGAAAACAGATTTTCTCCAAGAGATAAACTTAGACCTACATAAACACACTTTCTCTGATAACCATACATTCTTTGGATTTTTTCTTTGTGTCAAGTCAAAAAGCCTGAAGTGAGGCTTAGAAGGACTGTGTGCGTGTGCTCAATCGTGTCTGACTCAGTGCAACCCCATGGACTAGAGCTGGTCAGGTTCCTCTATCCATGGGATTATCCTGGCAAGAACACTGGAGTGGGTTGCCATTTCCTTCTCCAGGGGATCTTCCTGACCCGCGGATTGAACCTGCAGCTCCTGCACTGGCAGGCGGATTCTTTACCGTCGCGCCACCTGAGAAGCCCTTAGAAGGACATGGTATTGATAAAATTTTTCACCAGTCCATTTTCAGATGTCCAGAAAGTTATCCTCCGACAGCTATTTGCTGTTTGAATTCTCTCTTGCTGCATTTACTGTAGTTGAATAAGTGGTGGTAACTTTGACTCAGAAACTTTGTTTCTAGGAGAGATTATCTTTGAAGATAAGTGTTCACTAAGATAAATAGGGGGAAAAACAGTGTATGTGTTACATCTAGCCTATGCATCCTAATTTTAGTTTCAAGTTTTGACACCTAATAATGTGCTGTTAAAATACACAGCTATTATTTGTTTATAACAGAGACATTCTTTATGTAATACATCCATAAAAACTGAGGAAAATAAATGACCAGATTATGGAGAGCAGAGCCAAATATCCAGTATTGAGTTGTTGCAACACTTCTGTGGCTTATAATTTTTTTATTTGTGTTTGCTTCTGGGCTTTCACTAAATATACTTTGGCTTACTTTCTTTACTTTTTTCATAACAAAATTTAATTTAATAGCAAATAGGACTGTACCACAGTTTTCTTATGAAAGTTAAAAAGCAGGCAGGTTTTGATTCCTAATATATTCAGATGTTCTGCATAAGGGAAACTGACATCTTTTATTTTCTAACTTCCCAGTATATCAACTGCAACAAGAAGCCCCTCATCCTCGGAGAATTACCTGTACTAATGAGGTGGGTGTAATGAAACCATTACGATATGTCTCTCAATCATTTGTTTCCCAGACTTTGACCTTCTTCAGTGGTGTGGTTGTTTGTGGGATTAATTGTTGATGCTACTTAACATCATAAAATTGTAACTGGAATGCATTTTTCTTAACATTCTTCTCACTTTTTGATAGACTGTTTGGAACACAGGGTAGAATAAGACAGTATAATTATAAGTGATGTTAGTATTCTTTTCAGTGAATTTATACATTCTTCCATTTCTTATTGTTTTATTCTTCTTAAAGTTTGAAGGCATCATTGTAACATTATTGAAGTAATTTTTCCATCGATTAAAGATGTAAATCATAATTTTACAAAGCAAAAGTCAAAAGCAAAAGTCATGGACTGTTCACCAAAAGAGAGATATATATGACAAGATAATATATGAAAATATCTTCAACTTCATTAATAAGAAAATGCAAATTAAAATATACAGTGAAAATTTTCACTTTTCAGATTGGCAAAAGTTCAGCAGCTTAGAATATACTCTTAGTTGGTAAACCTGTGATGAAATAGGCACTCATATATTGCTTATGGGAATGTGAAATTCTACAACTTTATATGGTAGTTTTGTAATGTCTAACATCTACATTTATCATTTGACCTAGCAGTCCAAATTCTACTCTGATTTACTCTGATGAATTGCCTGTACAAATATGAAATAGCATATGCTCAAAAGTTTTTCACTGTAGGATTATTTGTAATGGCAGAATGTTGGGGGAAAAAAAATCTAAATGTTCCTAGGCAGCTGATTGAATAAATTACAATACTAAAAAGAATAAGGAAGAATTCTATGAGCTGATATGGATTATTTCCATATACAGAATTTATATGTAGTAATTATGGCCCCTATTTAGTAATAAAGAAGGGAAAATAAGAGAGAAATAAATCTTACTTTTGCAAAAGAGAAACACAGGAAGGTTAACCCAGAGACTAGTGAAATAGTTTTCTGTAAAGAGTGGGTGAGGAGCAGTGTAGATGGGATAAGGGTGGAAGTGAGACTTCTCTGAGGGTGTGTTACTTCTGAACTGTGAAAGTGTCTCACATATTTAAATAACCAAATTAAATAAAAAGGATTTTAAAAACTCTAAAATTGAATACAAAGAGAAACAAGTGAACATAGCAAATTCATAACGTTATCACCCCTTTGCTGACAAAGGTCTATACAGTCAAAGCTATGGTTTTTCCATTAGTCATGTGTGGATGTGAGAGTTGGACTGTAAGGAAGGCTGACTGCTGAAGAATTGATGCCTTCCATCAGTGGTGTTGAAGAAGACTCTTGAGAGTCCCTTGGAATGCAAGGAGATCAAACCAGTCAATCCTAAAGGAAATCAGTCCTAAATATTCACTAGTAGGACTGATACTGAAACTGAAGCTCCAGTGCTTTGGCCAGCTGATATGAAGAGTCAGCTCATTGAAAAAGACCCTGATAATGGAACAGATTGAAGGCAGGAGAAGAGTAGGATGACAGAGGATGAGATGGTTGGATGGCATCAATGATTGACTGGACATGAGTTTGAGCAAGTTTCAGGAGATAGTGAAGGACAGGCATGCTACAGTCCATGGGGTCGCAGAGTCAGACACTACTGAACGACAACAAACCACCCCAAATTAAGTAGCTTTTAAACATATTGTTTTGGCTGTACAGATATAGAAGGAAATATTCTAAGATCTGAAACCTGTGAAAAGATGTTTTAACTATAGTTAGTTGGTTTGTTGTTGTTACTGGTACTTGTTTAGAAATTCTGCAGTTATCTTGTTGTAACATAGGATAGAGCAAAGGACTAATTATATTGGACTTTGGGGAACCAAAGTTTTAGGAGATACAAATATGGAATAGGAGGAAAATGACAAATACATTGTGGAATTGAATTTGAATTGGAAGTGTCAATATGACCTTATAGATTTTTTAAAATGTATTTTCCATCTCAGTTCATGGAAAGGTCTTAGAAGAAATGTCCCAGTAGGAAAGAATAAAACCAGTGCTCAGATTTTAGTTTCCAAGTACTATTTCCTACTAAAAGGAGTCAGTGTTCCTTAGAGAAATTTCCTGATTCTAGAATATAGGGGGTGGGAGGTCTGGGAACATCTTATGTCAGAAAGCAAGTGGATGAGGATGTGTCAAAAACACATAGGATCCCACTTGAAGAGATCCTACAAGCAAAATTTGGGACAGTTTGACATCAGAAAGAATGATAGTAATCACAACACACTGAATGAAAAGAGAATTTGTAAGTCTATAATGTTACTTAAAAAAAACAAAAACCTTCCCCAACACAAAGAGGAAAGCAAAGGGGAGAAGATTGTTCTTTCCAGTAGACTAGTAGCTAAAGATGTAGAAAGAATGGTAATGATTTTCACTAGTAATTGAGTCAGGCAGGGATTTATCATTAGACATTAAAACATTGAATTAAAAAGTTATATGTGAATAGAATAGTCACATGGTCTTGACTATATTTCCAGTCCAGTTCACTCTCCCCAAATTCCAGACTATATACCCAGCATCTGCTCTACCTCCTCCTCCAGTTATCTAGTGGGCATCCCAAATATAACTCATCCAGAGGAGAACTGACCTTTATCCTCCTTCCCAAACCTGCTTTACCAGAGCCTCCCACATCTCAGTTACTGGCAGTTCCTTACTTAACAGTTGAACCAATCCAAACCATGCATCATCCTTGACTGCTCTTTAATTGTGGGGAGATGAGAGAGAAAAAAATAATCCGTCAGGAAGTCCTATTGGGTCTGTCCTCAGAATAAGTCCAGAACATGTCTAGAATTGTACCACTTCTTACTATCACCATAGCTACCATTCAGGTATATACTTTGGAAACTGCTAGATTCCCACCCAAATCCATTCTTTCTTTGGAAATAAGGTTACTCTAAATTTCATCAGCTTTTTTTTTTTTTCAATAGTCACGTCCATGTGACAATTTTCTCTTGTGGAACAGAAGTGAAGCTTAATGTCGAGTCTGTTAAAACTTTCCACCTAAGTCCTTCTGAATTATTTTTATCTCTGCTTGGATTCAGATAAAAATTAGGAACTCTTGACAAGGAGATGGTGGAGCTACAAGATGGAAGATATCTGGATGTAGGACAGTTGTGTTCTTGACCTGAATACTTACCTAGAAATTATATACAGGCACACTTAGTTTTTGCTTCCCTGATAGCTCTGTTGGTAAAGAATCCACCTGCAATGCAAGAGACCTCAGTTCGATCCCTGGGTCGGGAAGATCCGCTGGAGAAGGGATAGGCTACCCACTCCAATATTCTTAGGCTTCAATTGTGGCTCAGCTGGTAATCCACCTACAATGCAGGAGATCTGGGTTCAGTCCCTGAGTTGGGACGATCCCCTGGAGAAGGGAATGGCTACCCACTCCAGTATTCTGGCCTGGAGAATTCCATGGACTGTATAGTCCATAGGGTCACAAATAGTCGGACACGGCTGAGCGACTTTCACTTTCATACTTAGTTTTGTTTTGCTTTGCAGATATTACATTAACAAACTGAAGGATTGTGGTAACCCTGTGTTTCACACAAATCTGTCAGAGCCATTTTTCCATCAGTATTTGCCCACTTTGTGTCTCTGTGTCACATTTTGAGAATTCCCACAATATTTCAAACTTTGCATTGTTGACATTTTGTTCTGGTGATCTATGATCAGTGTTAACTATTGTAATTGTTTTGGGGCACCATTAACCACCTCCACATAAGATGGCGGACTTAATAAATGTGGGTTTTCTGACTGCTCCACTGACTGGCCATTCCCCCCATCTCTCTCCTTCTCCTTAGGCCTCACTACTCCCTGAGATACAACAATATTGAAATTAGGCCAATTGATAATCCTTGCAATAGCTTCTTAAGTGTTTATGTGAAAAAAAGAATTGCACATCTCTCACTTTGAATCAGAAGCAAGGCATGATTAAGCTTAGTAGGGAAGGCTGGTTGAAAGCTGAGATAAACCGAAAAGCTAGGCCTCTTTAGCCAGGTTGTGAATGCAAAGGAAAAGTTCCTGAAAAGTGCCACTCCAGTGAACACAAATATGATAAGAAAGTGAAATAGTTAATAGCTGATGTGGAGAGAGTTTCCATGGTCTGGCTAGAAGATCAAACCAACCACCACATTCCCTTAAGCCAAAGCCTGATCCAGAGCAAGGTCCTAACTCTCTTCATTTCTGTGAAGACAGAGAGGTGAGGAAGCTGCAGAAGAAAAGTCTGAAGCTAGCAGAGATTGGATCCTGAGGTTTAAGGAAAGAAGCCATCTCGTAACATCTAAATGCAAGATGAAGCAGCAAATGCTAATATACAAGCTACAGCAAATATCCAGAAGATCTTGCTAAGATAATTGACAAAGGTCATTATGCAAAACACCAGATTTTCAGTGTGAGTAAAATTGGCATTCATATCTTTACTTGGGAAGAATAGTCATCTAGGTCTTTCTTGGCTCTAGAGGAAAAGTCAATGCTTGACTTCAGAGGACGGGGTTAGGGGTCTTGTTGTTAGGGTCTCTAGTGCAGATGGCCACTTTTGAGTTGAAGCCAGTGCTCATTTACCGTTCTGAAAATCCTAGGGCCCTTAAGAGTTATGCTAAGTCTACTCTGTGTGTGCTCTATAAATGGAACAAAAAAACCTGGATGACAGCTCATCTGTTTACAACATAGTTTACTATTTTAAACCCACTGTTGAGACCTACTGCTCAGAAAAAGCTGTTCCTTTCAAAATATTGCTTCTCATTGGCAATGCACCTGATCACCCCAGGGCTCTGATGGAGATATATGAGATTAATGTTTTTTTCATGCCTGCAGGGCTTCCCTGGTAGCTCAGGTGGTAGAGTCTGCCTGCAAGATAGGAGATGTGAGTTTGATCCCTGGGTTGGGAAGACCTCCTGGAGAAGGAAATGGCCACCCACTCCAATATTCTTGCCTGGAGAATCCCGTGGACAGAGGAGCTTGGCACTGGGCTACAGTCCAT